AAATCACAAAGAATTAGGGAAATTTACTCTACTTAACTTGCAATGGTATGCAAAGCTCTCCTGGATGCCTTGAGTTTTTAGTAGGTAATTTTACTGAGATGTATGGACTAACAATCCTCAGTCAGGGTAATGTTGACACCTTCTCAATTACGTTTTCTTTGAGATCAAATTTTAAGAACTTTTTCTGTAGTTGTGGAATTTGTGTAATATTCCATGAAGGAGCTATGTTATATGGCAAATGTTTCAAATTTAATCATAAGAGTTTAAGAACTGCTTATCTTGCTCTTTGCTTTTAGCCTTTGTGAAAAAGGTGGCCTAGGTGATAAGGCTTTGACATTTATCCTTTTTCCTTGTCCTTTCCTTTGTTCCTGTTTTTCTTGATTACCTGCAACATTTACTTTCAATAACTCGGATTCACAACCAGCTCCATAGTTTCATTATTAAAATATATATCAGAAATACCCGAAGGAAACTATTTTATCTCATATTTTTTCACTTCGTAACGTAATGGCAGTTTTTGTTCTTACATTTCCCTAGGATTCTTTTCTGTTATTCCTAGAAAGATTCTACTTTCTCGTGAGACATAGCATTTGGAAGGTTGCCCTACTTTGTACCTCAAGTTATGTATGGACGACGAATGGTTTATTTATTCAAATAGCTTGGTCAAACACTTGATTCTAACCATTTAAAAACTATCATCTTGACTAGCCTCATTTTCTAGAGTTGATTCCAGTCCAAGAATTAGATACAATTTTTATTAGTCAGTTGTCCTAGTCTATCTTGAGCCTTGAACTAAAGTTGAAATTTCCCCTTCTTGATTATATGGTTTCTCAAAAAAGAATTAAGGATAATACATTTTCAACACTATAATACATAATTCGAGTATGGTACGCGACTTGTCCGTTGAACATAAATTCACTTGTTTTTCCTCCATAACGCGGATGCTTAAATTACATTCATTTTGATATATGCCCATTTTGACCACAATTTTCACAAATTAAAGATGTTGATTTGACTCACGTTCAAAGTTTATCAATTTTATATGATAAAGTATATTTATGCTTGCAGTCATAATTAAGGGATCTAATGAACTTTCCTTAACCGAATTCTTTGAAGAAGTAGAAGATGGAGACGTCTTGATTAACAGTGGAATGGACTTACCTGAGCCTCTTTCGGTCTGGCCAATATGCTATTATTGTTAGCACATACTCTCTGCCAGTACCGTCAATGCATCATTAGTGTAGTCCTTCTTCATTATGGTTCCTCCTGCATATGCATCTATATTCCCTCTATAGAAGGGGAAGTAACACCTCAATTGTTTGGAAGGGTGTATTGACTCCAGTATGAATTGTTGGGCGCAAGAGGCGCGATGGATGTGGAAACTCGTTATTATGAAGCTTGGTTTATAGCGATGACCATGCTAGATAGTAGGGTGATTCAATTGCATTCATGAGTTGGGTGAGACTAAGTTTTTCTTTAAAGCTAGCGGTTTTTGCTAGTGGGAAGGTTGATATTTAAAGTCATTATCAAAACACCTATATAATGTAATCAACTTTTAAAAGCTCTTCCTCTCAAAAACAACATGGGAATTGTTTGAATATAATTTGATCTTGCGAATAGAGCTTTAATCCCTATAAGCAAAAAACTCACCGGTTTGCTCCTCCTTTCCCTAACAAAATTCCTCTAAATTGCGAAAGTCGTAACGAATTCATTCTTTCTAAAAATTCTCACAAACCAACTTTATGATAAGTTAGTTGTGTTAAATCACTCAATCTAAATAGAAGGACTTATCTATATCTGTCAGAATCCCGGGCCGCCAAGCCACAGATGCTCCGAGAATGAATCGACCGGTGCGGAAAGGTAGACCAACACGAGTTCTATGCCGGAGGCACCGGTCCTAACTACATTTTAGATATCATAACATTCCATGAATATGAATTTGGAAATGACTTAGTATTCACAAGTTTAGCAAGTAATAATATTTTTTTTTTTTTAGAGAATGTGCTATTGGAGAAGTCCTACAGAAAAACTGGAAAGAGTTTCCCTAAAAAAAGAAGTTACCACTTATGAATACAAAAGCACCCACATTCAAACTCCAACCGGCCAATCAACCTCCCAATAACAACACAATAGCACTTCTATAATTCATAACTACAATTAAGTCTCAATTAAATTTTAATATTCCTACAATTCATACATTCATGTAAACAGTGATATTAACTGATTTTCTCTTCCCAATATATATATATATAACAAGAATTTAACATAACATGCTTAAGATCAAAATAAAATAATATAGTCCCTCCAAAAATGGCATACTATTTTATACATGCCATCATTCTTAGTTACATAAAATACTAAATGCACTACCAAAATATCTCTTCAGCTCCTGATGCTAACTCTTCAGGTCCTTTAAGAAGCAATTTCAAATCTCAACCTGCGCGTGACTACATACAGCTGCATCGAGCTAGATGATCTCAGGGTGGTAGCTAAATAACAGGAATTTAAAATAAACAAATAGCGCAAGAGCAATTCGGCAGTGCTTATATAATTATATAAATACGAAATTGGCATTAATGTTGTGAAAACTGTGAAAGCAATAACAGAAGATTAAGATACGCTGCCGTCAATTCTTTTATAAGCAAAATAATAAATTTCACTCGTTTTTAGTTAAGGCTCGTACTACATATAGGAAATGAATGATAAGCAGATTATGAATCGTGGCCTATGTTTAGCGCCAACTGGCCATCAACACAGATGTGAACTAGTGAAAGCGCCACCAGGGGAACCACCAGCCCATCACACAAATAAAGCGCGTGCCGCCTATTTATAAGGGCTGATTAACAGCATAATGATTATAGCTTTTTTATTAACCAAATCAATCTCAATCATACCACAATTTCAATCATGCATAGTAGAGCCAAATAAAATCATTCGTTTCACAAAAAGACTTTTAATTCTTATCAAAATTCTTAATCAAAACACTTCATTCATAACTACAAATCATTTCAAAAATATCTCAACTTACACTTACAAAAAATTACCAAGCATTCTTCAAAAAGAAATATTTCAAATAGATATATATAGCTTAATATAAGTATAAGGTACGAATAATATCAAAGAAATTATTCAGATTTCATAAACGCTTGACTTATAGCTCGGGTTTTTAAAAACATAACTTGAGTTATGGGTCTCCAATTGGGACTGAAATCAGATTCATTAGAAAAGATAAGTACAAAATGCTACAAGGATTAATGAAGGGACGCACAGCCCAGATCCATCGATAAGATAGTAAAAACAAGAAGCTCATAAACACAGACATAGATAAAGACCTCTGATTCAAGGAAGAAGTCCAATATTATTTGAAATTCTAATTTTTAACCTAAACCGTGCAAATTAAAAGGGACCATCTAGAATGAGAGAACTCAAGACACAGGTGAAAGCGAACGTTTGTGAAGAAACTCAAAACCTGTAATCTGTATTATGATAGTGGTACAAAATTGGTGCACATCATTTTAGGGTGATGCATGTGGCCAACAACAGAGGTTCAGTTGGGTGTTCTCAGCATAAGGTTGAGCTATTGTATCTTCAAATTGGACACTGAAGAGGATGGGTTTTAGAAAGCATAAGAGGTCAGAAAACCTACAACCTTTTTATAAAGGACTTAGACACAAATGGAAAATTAGAAAGGATCGAAAAATGGTCTTCATCTCACTCCAAAAAACATTTTTCCCAATTCAGCTGTCCTTTAACATGAAAAGAACATGCACAACAAGATACAGTAAATGTCCTACCACACCATACATAATTCATCAACATCATCAAGAGCCTATATTTTGGCACCAAAAATTCAACATAATCATCATTCATGCAAAATCCCAAAGATAACAAAATAAGACTAGCATAAAGGCACAAAATCAACAATTTGAGTAAAGGAGTAAGTGTGTTTATAAGACCTAACTTTCAAAAAAAGTTTAACAAGATTGGAATCACACGCTTCTTAAGCCTTGTCTTTGGCCTTATCGCTGAATAGGCATCTTCCAGAGCAACTATACTGTAAGAAACTTCAAAATCATAGACAAGAAAAACCAAGAAAAGGAAGTAATGGAGCGTGATTAAGCATGTATTGTAGCCTAAAAGAAAGACTCTAATTAACCCTAAAATGAAATAACTTATCATAAAATCAACTTACACTTGACCCAAGTAGGGAAAATCACCACATTCCTTGAAATTGAGTCACCCAATATTACTTTCTAGCTTTCAACTCTCGAAGGGTTTAATACTTAAAAAAATCAAGTTGGATGGGTGAATTTGATGTGTTTACTAAGTAAACGAATTGAAGAAGAAGAAGAAGAAGAAGAAGAATGAAAAGAAGGAAGGAGACGTGCTAGGAAAAGCAAGCAAGAGCGAAAAAATTCGCTCGCTCAATAATTGATGGTTGCTTGAATAAAAGACAACGCTAAAGGGGTATTTTGGCTTTTCTGCTCCAAATTGGAACTGCTAGGAATTAAGTCACTAGTAATCTTAAGATCGTACAAGCTTATTCTCTTTAATTAGATTTACTTCAAAATATTATTTATCTCCATTCAAAATATTATTTATCTCCACAAAACTTTCTAATTTACTCCATAAAAAAAAATAATTCCTTAAATTTCCTTACTTAATATAACACCATAATTCACTATTCAAAAATTCTCTAAATTCTCCAAAAATATTCCTTACTTACTTGCTACCCATAAAAACCATGCATACATGCTCCAAAAATGTTAAATAAAATATAAAACATAAGTAGTAATTTTGCCGGACCAAAAATAAGACCAACTTCCGGACCGGTGGTACTATTCACAGACCGGTAAACTACTATTGAAACACTAGAAAAACGGGGCGTTACAGCTCTCCCCCCCTTTAAAGAATTTCGTTCTCGAAATTCACCTAAATTAAACAACTGAGGATGTTGTTGTCTCATAATATCTTCACTTTCCCATGTAGCTTCTTCGGTCTTATGGTTTCTCCAAATAGTTTCTCCAAAGAACTTTTACCAAAAGAATTCTCTTATTTCTTAGTTCCTTGATTTCTCTAGCAAGTATCCTTACTGGTTCTTCCTCATAAGTTAAATCTGGCTTTATAGTCACAGATTCCACTGATATTACATGTAATGGGTCGGACCGATACCTCCTCAACATAGATACGTGGAAAACATTATGTATCCTATCCAGGTCTGGTGGTAAAGCTACTCTATAGGCTAATGGATCCACACGCTCAATGATCTCATATTGACCAATGAACCTAGGACTAAGCTTCCCCTTTCTTTCAAATCTCAATATCTTTTTCCACGGAGATACTTTAAGGAAAACCTTATCTCCCATCTCCACTGCATACTCTATATCTTTCCTTCTTCAAATCCGCATAAGATTTCCTGACGATCTTGAGCTGCCCTTTTAACCTATCTCTGATATTCCTTAACCTTTCCTCTGTTCCCAAATTCAAATCCCGGACCTACCATCTTGCCCTCACTCAATTCTGAACAATCACAGGTGGAGTTCTACATTTCTACCATATAGTGGCTTTCAAAAGGGGCCATCTGAAATACTCGATTGATAACTGGTTATTGGAGGCAAAATTCTACAGTCGAATGTACTTCTCCCAACTGCCCTCAAACTCAATAGCACAAGCTCTTAACATATCCTCCAAAATCTGAATAACCCGCTTTGACTGACCATCAGTTTGAGGATGAAAAGCTGTGCTAAAATTCAGCTTAGTACCCAGGGCCTCATGCAGCTTCTTCTAAAATCTAGAAGTAAATCTCGGATCTCTATCCGAAATGATGGAAAAAGGAACCCCATGTAATCTCACTATCTCATCTATATAAAGCTCTGCATATTGCTCTATGGTGAAGTCGGTCCTAACAGGAAGAAAGTGTGCCAACTTAGTTAATCTGTCAACTATTACCCATACATCATCTTTCTTTTTAGGAGTTAAAGGCAATCCAGTCACAAAATCCATAGTAACCTTATCCCATTTTCATTATCCCATTTTCACTCTGGAATAGAAGTAGGGTTGTAACAAACCAGAAGGAAAATTGATGCTCTTGCTTTAACTTGCTGCACGTCAAACACTTCGACACATAAACTTGTAATATCCCTCTTCATTGGCCTGTCACAATATCTGTGATTTAAATCTTGATAACATATATTACCTGCCAGGATTGCAATAAGCAATAGGGACTACTATGAGCTTCTTAAGAACTCTTCTTAAAACTCTGAAATTTTAGGCACACAAATCCGATCCCCAAAGACACGCAAGTCGTCATCTTTAATCATAAATCTTCTTTTTTCTCTCACCCTTCTGACTAGGCCCTTTCCACAAGGTAATAGTCTCATGCAACCTGTTGTGCATCTCTAAACTGCTGTTATAGCTACGGTTTTCACCATAAGCTCTGCTACAGAGCACTTCTCTAGTCCTGATAAGCGTGCCATTCATAGCACGAAGAGCAACTAATGCCTTTTCACTACACTGAGTGCATCTGCCCACTTACATTAGCTCTACCCGGGTGGTAATCAATGGTGAAATCATAGTCCTTAAGTAGCACTTTAACCATCTACGCTGCCTCAGGTTAAGCTCTCTCTGCGTAAAGCAGATACTTAAGGCTCTTATGATCCGTAATACAAGTGGCATTTCTCACCATAACCAAATAATGCCTCCAAACTTCAAAAGCGAAGACCTATAGCTACTAACTCCAAATCAATGAGTAGGGTAGTTCTTCTTCGTGTTGGTTAAGTTGTCGGGAAGCAATAAGCAATCACCTTGCCCTTCCTGCATAAGCACTCAACCCAAACTGATGCGAAGCATCATATAACAATCATATGGTCCTGCCTGGGCTGGCTGTGTCAAAACTGGAAGCCTTAGTAAGCCAATAAGCCTCAGTAAGCATCGCCTTAAGCTTCTCGAAGTTACTCTGGCATCTATCAGTCCACTCAAAACGGATATCCTTACGGAGAAGTCTAGTCAAAGGAGTCGCAATGAGAGAAAATCACTTGACAAATCTTCTATAATAACCAGCCAATCCTAAGAAATTTCAAATCTCTATAACATTCGTAGGTGGCTTCCAATCAAGCACTGCCTCAATCTTCTTCGGGTCCACCCGAATACCCTCTGCAGAAATAACATGCCCTAAGAAAGCAATCTCAATCAACCAAAATTCACACTTACTAAGCTTGGCATATAACTGTCGGTCTCTCAAGGTCTGCAGAACCTGTTCGTAAGGTGGTGATCATGATCCTCTCGGTAGTACGGGAGTAACACCAAATATCATCAATAAAAACCAGCACGAACTGAATTCCAAATAAGGATGGAAGATCCGGTTCATCAGGTCCAATAAACCACTGCTGGGAATTAGTCAACCCAAATGGCATCACTAAAAACTCATAGTGCCGTGCGTGTCCTGAAAGCAGTCTTAGGTACAATCTGAATGCCCTTCACCCTAGCTGATGATAACCTGATCTCAGAATCTATCTTCGAGAATACACTAGCTCTCTCAACTGATCAAACAATCATCTATCCCGAGGCAATGGATAACCGATTCTTCACAGTAACTTTGTTAAGTTATCCTGTAAATCAAATACACAATCTAAGTGAGCCATCCTTCCTTCTTTCAAACAATACTGGGAGCACCCCATGGAGGATACACTAAGACGAATAAAACCCTTATCAAGCAAACTCCTGAATCTGTACTCTGTAAACTCTTTCAATTAGGCAGGCGCCATCCGATAGGAGCAAATGGATAATCGGTGCAGTACCAAGGCCAATAACTCATACCAAACTCAACCTCTCTCCTCAGGAGGTAAACCAGGCCAACTCCTCTGGAAACACATCCGAAAAAATCACATACTGTGGGTATATCATGGACACTAGGAGATTCTGACTCTGGAGCAAAGTACACAGGCTAAGGTAGGCCTGCACCACCATGGCTGGATCAGTCTTCTAACAGTAGGAAAGCAGAAATAACATTAGAGAGGTAATCCGACCTCTCACCCAACAACTACAATCTCCTTACCAGAATGAAAGTCTGGAGTGTAATCCTCTTAAGTCTACGATCAAACAATGACCCCATGTCTAGACAGCCAATCCATACACCAATATCCCATCGTACTTTCCCGAAAAAGGCAACTCTATCAAATCACCCCGGAAATACATACTCATGAATGACTAAAGGGCAATCTCTATACACCCGATCCAACTACTACACTCTGAACCCAAAGGGCTAGTAACCTCAACGCTGTTGCTCTAAATGTATCAAGCCAATGATACTATCCAATCCTACCCACAGTATGCATATGTATGAATGAGTGGAGCCGGATCAATCAAAGCAAGTACAAAAAGTGTCCAAAGATAAGAGAAGGTACCTGCGATGATATCTGGCGCAATCCCGCCTGCTTCCTGTCCCTGATGGCATAAGGCCCTCGCCTATGCTCTAAGCCTCTGGTCTTCCCACAGTCACAGTCTCAGAAACTGGTCTCTCACTCCTCGTACCATATCCCTCACTACGGCCTCTACCTCTGCCTCTCTGAACATAGGGAGCTAGCCTCCCAACATGGTGAGCTGGACTAGTCACTGTCATAGGACAATCCCTGATCATATGCGTAGTGGATCCACATCTAAAGCAAGGTTTCGTAGCGGCCCAACACACTCCAATATGTCTCCTGCCACACTGAATGCAAATTGGTAGGCCTGGCCATGCAGCACCCCGGCCACTAGGTAGTCGGAGGAGTTGATCTCGTAAATATACCCCGACCAACTGTCTGGCCCGGTCTGACCCCCATCTGCGATCCGCCTCTAAATCTCTTGCTACTAGACTGGACCCCTGAAGTCTGTCCAGACTAGCACTCTGCAATCTCTTATACTGACTGCTCTGCTGGGTCCTCTGACCTCTGGCCTGTCTCTCATTCCGAATAATCTCAAACTCTGAAGCCAGCCTCACCAAACCAGCTAATGTGGGTTGGGGCTGGGACTGTCAAGTGCATCCTATACTCATCCAGTAACCCCTTTCGGAACCGCTTACACCGATTGACTCCAGTAGGGACCAACTTAGAAGCATACCTACTCAACCGTATAATCCCCCACATATTTCTTCCCAAAACCGCAGAGAGAAAAGAAATCCCAAGTAAAACATCCTCGGCTCTCGTGTCTAACCATAAGACTCCTATCCCACCATAGGTAAGCCTCTTCCTTCCAGTAAGGAAACAGGCATAGGTAAGAAAATGAAGAAAATGAAAGAAGAAGGAAGAAGATGGAAATGGCGTGGAGAAGAGAAGAGAAGAAAACAAAAAGTGTTGTGGTGTTACTTTCAGTGCCAAAGTCAAATTTGACTTCCTAAAGTCATGCCAAATGTGTGACTAAGATCAAGTCCTAAGTAATCTCATCCAATGGCTCTTGGGGAACAGCTCCCGTAGCCTGCCTCAATGCAGCTACCAACTGCTATACCAAATAACCCTGATTAGGTCCCGCAGGACCCGCAGTATCCTGCCCTACAGCCGAGGCGCGCTCTGCATCAGAACCCAAAATGCCACCCCAGAATGCCACCAGCGACACCACCGGCTGGCATACCACCCTCTAACATAGCACCCTCTGGAGGGGCATAACTGTCCACCTCCTCATCCGGCAAGTGCTGAGACATCACTAAATACCTACAAAGACCAGCAGATTCACATCAGAGAGAAATTCCCAACACAGACTAATATGGCATGTATTTAACTTAAATCACTTATATCATTACTCCAAATTGGATACACTCTCATACCAAATCATATATCCTAGAATCGTCTAAACCTATGCTTGATACCACAAAATTAACACCCGCCGCCCGATCCCGAAAGACCCGACGGTGGATGCCACATTCTGTGCCGGACGCACCGTTTTAACCTACATAGAAATCATACAATCATAATATGAATTAGAAGTGACTTAGTATTCACAAATTTAGCAAGTAATAAATTTTTTTTTTTTTTGAAAATGCTTTAGGAGAGTCCTAAAGAAAAATTGCAAGAGTTTTCCCTAAAAATAGAAGTTGCCAAACATATGAATACAAAGCACTCCCAAATTCAAACTCCAACCAAACCCCATCAAACTCCAATAACAACACAATAGCACTTCTATAATTTCATAACTACATAAGTCCTCAATAACATTTTAATATTCCTCAATTCAATACATTCATGTAAACATATTAACTTCTATTTCTCTCCCAATATATATATATATCAACAGAATTTACAATAACATGCTTAAGTCATAAATTAAATAATATAGTCTCCAAAAATGCACTATTTATACATGCCATCATTCTTAGTTACATAAAATACTAATCAACTACCAAAATATCTCTTCAGCTCTGATGCTACTCTTCAGGTCTTTAAGCAGCAAGTCTTTAAAGCAAGCAAGCACAATCTCCAACCTGTGATAAATGATAAAAATCAACACGCTGAGTGGATGACTCAGTGGTGCTAAATAACCAACAATTAAAATAATAAGAAATAGCCAAGGCAAATCTCGCAAGTGCTTTAATTAGATAAATACCGAAATTGCATTAATGTAATGAAAATACTTAGTTAAGGCTCGTACTAATACAGAATGAATATAAGCAGATTTGATCTTGGCCTATGTTAGCGCCACCCCCATAACACAATCAGAATGAACATAAGCAGATTTGATCGCGGCCTATGTTAGCGCCACCCCCATCACATAATCGTGGCCTATGAAAGCGCCATCCCCATCACACAAATAAGCACGTCTGCCTATGTTAGCGCCACCCTAGCATATGATCATAGCTTCATATAACAAAATCAATCTCATTATACCACATTTCAACCATGCATAATAGAGCCCAAATCAAAATCATTCTTTCACAAAGAACTTTATTACTTACTCAAAATTCTTAAGCCAAAAACTTCCTTACTTAATACCCATCATTTCAAAATTTCTCAACTTACAACTTACAAAATTACCACATTCTTTTTAAGATAGTACATATATATTTAATATAGTATAAAAGTACATAAATCAAGAAATTTTCGGCATTTTCATAAACTTGACCTTTGCTGGGTTTTTCAAACATAACTTGAGTTATGGGTTCCCAAATTGAATGAAAACAGATTCATTAGAAAGCTAAGACAAAATGCTACAAATGTTATGAAGGGACCACAACCAGATCAATCGGTAAGATAGCAAAAAAAAAGCTAGGAACACAGACCAACAGATCAGATCTCATTCAGCAAAACCAAGTTCAATGTTTATTGAATTCCTGCTTAACCAAACACTCAAATTAAACCAATATAGAACGAGAGAAGTCTCAAGACATAGGGAAACAACTTTTATGAAGAACTGAAGAACTCAAACCTAATCTTGTCATTATAGTGGTCCAAATGGGCACTCAATTCAGTGATTGCATGTGGCCCGACACAAACAGAGTCAGTTTTGGGTGTTTCACCATAAGTTGAAGCCTATGTATCTTCAAATTGGAACCCAAATTGGACACAAGAGGATGGGTTGGAAAGCTAAGAGGTAGACCTACATCTTTTATGAAGGACTCAGACACAAATGGAAATTAGAAAGGATCGAAAAATGGTCCTTCATCTCACTCAAAAACACGTTTTTCCCAAATTCAGCTTACTTTAACCATGAAAGGAATATGAATAACAAAGATACAAGGTAGAAATGTCTACCACACCATACATACTCATCAAACATCATCCAAGAGCATGTAATTGCAACCAAAATTCAAAAAATCAATCATTTCATACAAAATCTCAAAAGATACACATGATAGCATAAAGGCACAAAATCAAAAATTTGAGTAAGGTAAGTGTGTTTATAAGCACTAACCTTCAAAACAAGCTTTAACAATAAAGCTTCTTCAAGCTTTGGTCTTTGCCCTTACCCTTGTAGAAGGCTCTCTACCCCTTACAATGTAAGGGAAGAAAAATCAAAATCAACACAAAGAGGAAAAACAAGGAACAAGAAGAATGGAGCATGATTAAGCATGATATGCTAAAGAAAAACTCTAAACCAAAAAACAAATAACTATCATAAAATCACTTACTGACCCAAGTAAGAAAAAAATCACTCAAATTCCTTGAATTATCACCAAATATTACTTCTCTAAGCTTCACTCTCGAAGATTATTACTTAAATCAAGTGGGATGAGTGAATTTGATTGTTACTAAAGTAAGAATTCCGAAGAAGAAGAAGAACAAGAAGAGAAGGAGAAGAAGAGGAAGACCGTGTAGGGAAAGAAGAAGAAGGAAAAATTGTGCTCAATTAATTGATGGTTTGCCTTTAATAAAAGCAACTAAAGGGTATTTTGTCTTTTCATCCAAATTATGCTAGATTAAGTCACTATAATCTTAGAGTCACTCAAAATATTCTCCAATTAAATTCCTTCAAATATTATTATCTCCACAAAAACTTTCTAATTACTCCATAAAAAAAAATTAATTCCTCAAATTCCACTATATAATATATAATTCACTATTCACAAATTCTCTTTAAATTCCTCCAAAAATATCCTTACTTACTTTCTACCTGTTAAAAACCATGCATACATACTCCAAAAAAATGTTAAAATAAAAATTATAACGATAAGTAGTAATTTTTTTCAACAATAAATTCAATACCATAATTTCTCGGACCTTTTTTTTTTTTTGAGTACTATTCACAGACCGGTAAACTCTATTGTAGTAATTTTTTCAGACAAAAAATAATACCAACTTCCGGACCGGTGGTACTATTCACAGACCGGTAAACTACTATTGAAACACAGGAAAAACGGGGCGTTACAATTTCTTTGTTTAATCTGTCTTGTGGTTGTTTCTTTGTTTATGGAAAAAACTCTTTCCACAATCCCTTCCTATTTAAGCATCAACAAGATAATCGATTATATTCATGATCGCGGACTTTAAAACCTAACTCTCTAATAGAAACTACTTCACAAGCATAAAAAGAACCAAACTCTACAATAAAAATCTACTAAAAAAACACAATGGTATCACATTAACCCAAAGACTTTTTAAGAATATTTCCTTTAAACCCTTTCTTGTTGAAATTAAGAATCATCATCGGCAAATGCCTTTGAGCCTAGGGCACCAGTCTTCTTTGGTAGAAAAAGGTTGTAAATATTTGGCATCACACCTCTATTAGCAATAATAACATAAAAAAAGAAGCTATTTCTTTGTTTAATTTGTTTGAAGACAGATTAAACAAAAAAAAAAAAAAAATCCTCTCTTTAGGTTTGAGATTAAGCAGTATTTGTCGTTGAATGGGAGTAAAATTTGTGAGGGAGAGAGAGTTTGAAACTGCAGTGAGTTTTTTGGATTTTAGAAGATAAATTGTTAGATTAGGGAAAAGCCGGCAAAACGGTGAGTTTTTGATTCATTGGTTAAGCTAACCTAAAGTAAATTAGTAAATCTCACACTAAATATTTCAATCCTTTTATTGTTTAGTTTTTAAATTAGGATGTCAATATTTCAATACTTTCATTGGTTTAATTTAAAAGGTTGTTTAAGATGATTTTGCAGTAAGTTCCAAAGTTGGGGGTTATTTTTGTAGTTTAAACCTATAGAAAAAAATTTAACACCGTCGTCAATTCTATAGTGCGTTTGAAGGAAGACCGAGATTTGCACGTGCCAGATGACCACGCGTGCTAAAGGAAGACCGAAATGTGCCATGGCTGACTAAAACTCTGTAACTCGAACGAACAGAAACAGCTCGCTCTCTGAATTTTTTTTTTCCTCCTAAAGCTGAGCCATCCATCCAGCTTCCACGCATCTCTAATCCTGATCAAGTATTTCATCTGCAAATAATAAGCTCTAAATCTCCAGATCTGTGTTGACCCATTATCATCATCATCTTCGTGACTTCTCCGTAATTGCTCGTTGATTATTCTGAGGTCGATCCACTGCATTAGCTATGCCGGTGGCTGCTTCTGCCATCTATTTCTTAAATCTCCGTGGGGATGTACTCATCAATCGTCTCTATCGCGATGATGTCGGGTAATCAACTCCCAATTACATTTCTACATGTGTTTTGCGCTTTATTCTTGTTTTGTTTTTCTTTTTTTTCTTTTTTTTTTTTTTGAAATTTTAGGAACCATGTTGGCGGAGTGCATTGACTGTTGTGAGTTGATTGTGATATTAGTTTATGGTGTTTTGTCTAGTTAATGGGTATTTTTTAATCATGTTCAAGAGATGAGTTTTGAGCTTAAGGGTTTATGTGGATAAATGTATCTGAATCTGGTGTAACGACTAGCATTATGCGTAGAGGGAAGATTTTGAGTAAATGGGTCTGCTTTTAATGTTGGTTGAGTGTGACTTAGAGATAAATCAATAGAATCTCTAAAACTGTATCTGGGGATTCAGTCTTTGTTTGTGTTTTTGGTTGGTGGAAAAACTGGTATTTGCTGTCCGGTAGTCATATCATTTGGAACTACTTTTGTTTGAGTTGTAGATTTCGATTTGTTACAGTTGTTATTAGTCCTCAATTGAATTATAAATGTTTGGCTGTATGAAGTGTTCCAATTGAACGATTTATACCTTTCATATCAAAATAAGGCCAGTAAAATTATTGTATTAATGACCTTGATTTACTCTATTGTTGACTGTATCATTTGTGATTATTGATATGAGAGTTAGACTGCAGTTTTGGTCCATTACTTTTGCCAAACGGTGGACTTTTGTGCTCCTAGTGCAATTTAGGCACATCAGGTTCACATCATAAATTGTAATAAAAGCATCAATTTGGCTCATGCCTGTTAGGCACAAAATGTTGTAATCCAGGATAGAAGGAGGAGCGGAACAGAGATAATCACTTGGCTCCATCTATGCAGATGGTTTTTCTCTTCTTTTGATAATTGGGAAACTTGGAGATTCAAACTTAAAACCTCATTTGGGTTTTACAGATGTGATACCAATTAGGCTTTGCCCTAGCCACTTACTTGAATGATATGTTATTTCTTTGAGGACACTTACTAAGAATCCCAATGTTTTTCTTTGGAGGCAGTGTCTCCTTTTTTCTCCCCAGATTAACAGTAACATTTGGTATTTCAGCTTCTTATTTCTCTATGAATAATTGATTTTGTTTCTGCTGCACCATTTTTGGTGGCCTTTTGTTTTGATGGGTGTTAACACATATAGTGTTTTTCAGTGGAAATATGGTGGATGCATTTCGAATGCATATAATGCAAACAAAAGAACTCGGCACATGCCCAGTGCGACAGATTGGTGGTTGCTCTTTCTTTTACATGAGAATCAGCAATGTCTACATTGTGATTGTTGTCAGCAGCAATGCTAATGTAGCTTGTGCATTCAAGTTTGTTGTTGAGGTATTAGTTGCTTCTTGTTCATTTTTTATTTTTGGGGGCTTCCTCATTCATACGAGGAATCAGTAATGAAGGCGTAAATCTTTTTTTGCTTTGAATAATTTGTTAGAATTTTAAAAAATTTCTGTGTGCTAATTTAATAGTTTTACTGCAAAGTTACGTTTGATATGGCTGTTGAATTTGTCAGTCATTCTAGTTCTTGCAAATGCCAAAAATGAATAAATTCTGGTGCCAATAATTCTCCTGGATACAATAATATTTCTTTGAGACATGTTGATTTCAAAAAGACAGAATGTCGTATTTTTTCTTAGTTGCTAATTGTGGCATTCTATGACATGGATGCAGGCTGTTGCGTTATTCAAATCATACTTCGGCGGGGCTTTTGATGAAGATGCCATCAGAAATAATTTTGTCCTGATTTATGAATTACTGGATGGTATGTCATTGATATACTTTTTTAATGATACTCTGTTGCATATTAGCATTTTTGGTTCTTTCTTTAGATTTTTTTTTCTTATGTAATTTTATCTATTTAGAGAATCTGTGCATTATGAAATACTTCTTTTGGTCATTATGAAAGGCCATTCAGTAAGTGTTGTTTCAGTACTGGATCATTACATAAGCAATGAATGATTTGCATCTTGCTTGAAATTGCAGAGATTATGGACTTTGGTTACCCACAAAATCTGTCTCCTGAGATTTTAAAGCTTTACATCACACAAGAAGGAGTTCGCTCACCGTTTTCATCCAAGGTTAGATGTTTGTTTCAAGAAGAACCACAACACTTCTTTTGGACATTGATTTTCTATTTTATTTGAATAATATCAATATGACATGACTGTAAAAGTTAATTGATTGTCTTTGTCTTGTGTTTTTGATGTCAAATAGTCTTTGATCATGTGTTTCTTTCTCTTTTGCATTGCAAAACCAAAATAGCCTACAGATAAACCAGTACCTAATGCAACTTTACAAGTCACGGGTGCTGTTGGTTGGAGGAGAGAGGGCCTTGTTTATAAAAAGAATGAGGTGATTCATTTTGCCCTGCCTCTCACTTAATTGATATTTAGCTGTCTTCTGTATTTTGACATTCATGCCTTGCAGGTTTTCCTGGATATTGTGGAAAGTGTAAATCTTCTTATGTCTTCAAAAGGTAGTAGGATTTTTTTTTTTTTTTTTTATGTTCAAAGGTAGGTAGGATTTTTTTTTTTTTTTTTTTTGTCCTGAAAGAAAAAGCTCCTCTCGCTTATGTTGTAATCTGTGACTTGGTTTATCCTAAATGATTTTTGTAATTATAGGTAGTGGTAGGATTTTTTTTTTTTTTTTGTCCTGAAAAAGAAAAGCTCCTCTCCTTATGTTTGGTAATCTGTGACTTGGTTTATCCTAAATGATTTTTGTAATTATAGGTAGTGTTTTGCGCTGTGATGTAACTGGGAAGATTCTTATGAAGTGTTTCCTTTCTGGGATGCCCGATTTAAAATTGGGATTAAATGATAAAATTGGCCTCGAGAAAGAGTCGCAACTGAAATCCCGTCCTGCTAAAAGGTACATTTTCTTGCTAAATAGCTATCATCCTTCACAAGTTACCTTTTCTTGGCTGTTATTCTCTTATTTATCAGTTGCTTTTCCTTGCTTAATGCATGTATCCATAATTATACTTTTTTGTTTTTCATATCGGTTGATTGTGCTGATTCTCCAAAACGGCGCTCTTTATGCATGATTTTCTTCCCTTTCTTTGTCCTATTCCTTCTCTTTTCCTCACTGAATTTTGAGCCCAGATTGCATCTATAGCTTGTTGCATCTATACAGTAGTTTTGTTTCTGTTGGGTCATTCTCCTATCTGTGTGGCACCCAAATATTTTTCTTTGGATGAACAAAGCCTTTTAAAAGTATGATTAGTCCATAGTGATTAAAGGCGCAAGGCGCAATAAGGCTCAAAGGGCTCTTGGAGCCTGCGAAATGAGGGGCAAAAATGAAAAAAAATATATAAAATAACATAAAAAATGTACAAAAATTTCATATCAACAGTATAACACATATAAAATTTTAAATCACACCATTTAGTAGACATTAAAAATTCAATTTTAATAGAACAATTTTACAACAGGCCACCTAGGGGTATATGTGAATTTTACAGTAGATTCACCATTCAGGACCTTTATCAAACATGTCCTGAGATTACCCCTTAACAGTAGGTTTTAACCAAAATTTTCTTTTGCACCTAAGTTTATAACTGAAACTCAAATTTAAATTCAATGCGTAACCCAAATCAAATGCTATGTGATTCAACTTTAATCAACTAAACCAACATTTACAATTACAATTTTAATTTATAGTATAAAAAGTGATCAATGACTCTAAATTGTATCTCAAATGATCAAACAATCAGGTCATAAATTCTGACAAAATTTTGGCACCATAACGGCTATATTTTAAGCTATTGAATCAGAGAGAAGAGAGAAAATTATAGAGAAGGGAGAAGAAGCAAAGCACGGAAAAAAAAGCAAAAGAAACAAGAAAAAGGGAGAAAAATTCAATCCTGATACATACCTGCTGCCTGCTGTAGTTGCACTGTAGGATTTTTTCTCTGTTTTCATTTTTTCTTTCTTTTTTTAAGTAGAAAGGTATAGTTGAATATAAATAAAACTCATCAAACGACTTAAAACTATTTTTTCTGCATATGTATTATTTCACAAAACAATTCAAACTAGCATGTGTATCATTTCTGCATTGTTATTTCCTCTTGGAAAAGAAAATTACTTGTTCACTTAAATACCGTTTAGCTATCCTAAAACCACTTCTCTGTACATAACAATTATATGGAGCCAAGGAACTTCACTATATAGCCAATTTGACAATGCTATCTTTTATGTTTGGATAGGAAATCATTTGAGAGTTAATTAAATATTTTTGCTAATATTTTGAAGCTTATAAATTATCTTGCAACATTAATCCACTGTTGTACTTCCTGGACATTTTAGAACTCTTTTCATCTCATTCATAAATTTACAGAATCAATCAAATTTGGTCTTCATATGAACTTCAATCTTTTTGATTGTGCTTAATATATTATTTTCTTGTCCAAATTTCCTTCAGAAACCTTGATGATTATCATTTCTTTTGTAAATTCTGTTTGTTTTTATAGATAATTTTATCTGGGTTTCATTGATGTTAAAGTCTACTGAATCTGAATAAGGCTTCAAATATCATAGACTAAATATGGTCTGCTATATTTTTTAGTAAAAGGCTTCCGTTTTTTACCATGACAATTTCACATTGATCTTATGTGTGGTAATTTTTCAAAAATATTGCGTATGCATTTTTCCACTCTCTCTTGTTTTGCTTAGTCCTTGTGTAAATCTGTATTAGCCATTTTACAGTTTATCTGTAATTGCTTTGAGATTGAACCTGTCTTGTTCGGTATGTAATCAAGTGACTCATAATTTGCATCTTATTGGTTTTTTACTGGGAGATGTTATCTTCATGTTGCTGTAATAACTTTATCTTCTGTTTTGCAGTGGCAAAACAATTGAACTTGATGATGTTACTTTCCATCAGTGTGTAAATTTGACAAGGTTCAACTCAGAAAAGACAGTTAGTTTTGTTCCACCAGATGGTGAATTTGAATTGATGAAGTAAGAACAGAAATCTTGATCCTGATTATGTAGTTGAAAATTTAGATTATTCATTAGTTTGTTGTATGGTTGATCAGAGATAGAGTGCAGAGGCAACTTAAGAATATGTGATGAGAGTTTCCATTTGGAAGTTCACTATTAAAGGCCCTAAACATTTTTTATACTTTACAATACTTATTATTAACTACTTCTATCTGTTGTTTTCAGTTGATTAATAGGTTTTATTAAGAGATTATTAATTGTCTTAGTTCACATCTTCCAATGTATAATACTATCTTATTTGTTAAGAGTTGTCACATTTTTCTCTTAATCTTTTGACTTATTTAGCTGTCTGCTTATTCACCTCTAGGTATCGTATCACTGAGGGAGTAAATCTTCCATTTCGAGTGTTGCCCACAATCAAGGAACTGGGTCGAACACGAATGGAAGTGAATGTTAAGGTGTGTAGTTTTACATCTTCAAGCTTGCCATGCATTAGTATTTGCAGTTATTCAGTCATCTCATTTTGACTAGTTTTCAGGTAAAGAGTGTATTTGGTGCCAAAATGTTTGCACTTGGAGTTGTCATCAAAATTCCTGTACCCAAACAAACTGCTAAAACGAGTTTCCAAGTGACATCGGGTCGGGCAAAGTACAATGCTGCAATTGATTGCTTGGTTTGGAAGTGAGTTATTTGCTTGTTTAATTTTGAAATTTGAATTCCATGGGCTCTGTTAATGTTTTGAAATTTGTCCATTTACATTTCAATTTGACCAAACTTTCTTTTCAAACACGAATTTGCTGAGAAATGACCTCTATTGATGGTTTCACATTTTTAAGCTAGCATGATATCTTGATGTAGTTTTATTTTATTCAATCTTGTTAGTTCGTTACTCATTTATTTTGTTGGAACAGAAAAATAATTGCTTAGCACACCACCCTTGATGCATCTGCATGTATCAAATAACTCAAGTGACCATTGATTACCAGAATTGATCTACATGATCTTGCACATTGGACCTCTGCCAAGAATTGCTTTGCAATCTGAAACCAGATTCACTAAAAGGAGATAACATCTTTCTCAATGAGATCAATGGCTTTCTTTGAATCAGTTTCTAAAACCTGGCCAAGGTTTTGGTTCTGAACCAAAACTGAACAAAACTGGTCAGAATTGAACTGGCTGGAAACTTGCTAGATAGGAACCAGAAGCTGAACTGATTCAATCTTTTCCAGTTCTGGTTCTAATTCTATGAGAACTGGAGCCAGTATGGTACTGGAACTTGTATGGTACTCTGGAAACCTCTTCATTCCAAATTGGAACCTTGGCCATTATTCTTTTAATTAAAAGAACTATTACAAATTTATTAAGGTATTAGTTAAGTGCAAGCCAATTTATTTATTTTAATTTTTTATCTCTATAGAAATAAATATGTAATTTCACAACCAAGAATACTTAATTCAAAAATTTTTAAATCATTTTTAAAAATTTAATATTTTTGATATAGGTTCTTGTTCTGGTCTTGGTTTTGAAACCTTGGCCTGGCCTCATCCCAGTCCTGTCAGGACATGTGAAATGATGGGATGTAGATAATTGGTAGGAAAAACAATTGATCAAATTATTCTTGAAAATTGAAAGTGTTGTCTTCTAGTTAAAGTTAGTTAAACTCAATCCAAAACTTATATTTTGTATTTCTAGCAGTGATGGTATTGGTCCAATAGGGCAATAATATCACATAAGTTGGGTATCCTTTGGCATTCATGTTTTTTGGTATCCTGGCACGGATTCTGGTAAATGAACTCTCACTAGTACTTTTAGTAACCCATAGTTAGTTTTATCAGGTAAGTTTGGTTCCTCTAGGCATTCATGTCATGTTTTTTTCAGTTATTAGGCTCCCATTGAAGGTTTGAATTTGCAATATAGTCCTTGAGATGATTCCTTTACCACTGAGCCAAAGCTCATTAGATTATTTCCATATTCTGTTGTTTTAGTTTCTTCATCATATTTGTTCGAAATGTTGTTCCCTAATTAAATGTTCTTGCTGTTGTTTAGGATAAGAAAATTCCCTGGACAGACTGAGCCAACCTTGAGCGCAGAAGTTGAGTTGATTTCTACAATGACTGAAAAGAAGTCTTGGACAAGGCCACCAATTCAGATGGAGTTCCAGGTGCCTAATCTATTATCCCTTGCTATTAGTTATGCTGAATTGGGTTAGTTTGAAGCTAACTCTATTTCCATGAATTATACTGGACAGTATTGTTGATCTGTTTGATACAATTAATTGTAACCCAATGTTATAGCACCTAAATAGATTTGTTTTTTGGTGAACTTTGTCTGCCTTGGTTACTTGCTGGTAAAAGAATTAGGAAAAGAAAAAAAGGGTCCTTTGATAAAGATAAAAAGTTATAGTATATAATGTGACAAGACTAAGTGTTGTGGAATATAAAATATATACTACGGTAAAATAAAGTTCTAGTTGAGAAAAATAACCTGTGGTTTAGTCTTTGATACTGTTGCAATACAATTATAAAAAGAAGTTCTAGGATAATGTGATGAGATTAATATTTGTTGAATGCAAAATATATACTACAACAGAATACAAGTTGAAGAAAGTATCCTGTGGTTTAGTGCTTTGAAACTTAAGGGACTTAGTTGTCAACTTAATACCATTTCTTACTAATATTGTTAAATTTATTATAGTATCACAGTATATGAAACCAAATGCTTGATTAATGATACTTATTCTATGTTTTTGAGGGAAAAATTGTTATTTTTTTTTATGATGCATGGGCACAATATTTCTATGATTTTAACAATGCCAAAAGAGTAATAAATTGACAGTGAATTGAACCTTACGGTGCTGACATGTAGCAATTTTCATCTTAGGTTGATCAAGTGTCAAAGCACTAAACTATGCATTTTATCTCAACTTTTCCCTAGATTTTAACTACTTAAATTACTCCATATTATTGTATAAACTATTTTTGTTAATCTTTGAAGGGATTAAAGTTTTGAAGCATTGTTGTTGCAGGTTCCCATGTTTACGGCATCTGGTTTACGTGTTCGCTTTCTCAAGGTCTATACTATGACCCTTAAGTTTTGTACTTCATTTTGCCAAAAATATCCCACTTGACCCTGTATACTTTCTGCAGGTATGGGAGAAGAGTGGGTATAATACAGTTGAGTGGGTCCGCTATATCACTAAAGCAGGTTCTTATGAGATTAGGTGCTAAAAACATTGAGTACATGAGTGAAGTATTGGCTTATTGCAATGAGATCAGATGGAGATTGAATACTTTGCTAGCCATTCTAGCCAAGTTGCAAGGAATCATTGCATAGATTGCATTTTGTCTACAGAAAAATGTGCAGCTTGTCATGTTGATTATTTTATTGTAATCTGTTATGTTGATTTTTTTTATTGTAATCTGGCCAGTAGCAAGTGTTGTCGGTATTTTAATTTGGAGTGATTGGTTTTTTGCTTTTAAAGATAGTTCCTTGTTAGAGCGTGATGATTTTTTTTTTTTTTTTTCTTTTTACCGTTTTCATTTTTGATATATAGTGTTATTTTCGTTTTGATATGCTACTGTTTACTGCTTCTTGCAGAGTTTGTTTTTGTTGTAGTGATGAAATTGTTTATCCAGATTGTATTGAGTCCTTATTTATAGTTTTCTTAATTCCCAAATTATGCAGGAATGAGAAATAAGATGTATCATTTAAAAAAAAAGAGCAGAAAAAATAAATTGATCTTTAAATTATAATCAAATTAAAATATGAGGTCTAGTCTTAAAAATTAATTATGAGGTTATTAAATTATAAAATTATTAGCATTTTGGTTCTTTCGCTCAAAGAAGAGGATGAAAGTGTTAATTAAAATTTAAGTTAGGGATTTCATAAATTATAATTTAGAGTTTAATTTCTCATCAATTGATAGTCAAAAAAATGAAATTATTAGTTGAAAATTTTATAGTTAGTTTTTGTAAATATAAGTTTTTATTTGTTAATTTCACTGTAATTTAGGGATCAATTTTAATTTTTTGAAAAAACAATTAAAAAGAGGATATAGGAAAAATGGTCTTGCTATAATGACGCGAAGTAAATTCACATCACTGATTTATATAAAAAAAAGCTATTTTTGACAATATATTTAGGTTTCTACATAAAAATGCCTTCAACATTTATAATTTTAACCTTGTATTCGAACATTCCAACGCTCTCAAAAGATCCATGATACATCTAAGGCTTTATTTTTTTATAGCTAATATACTCCATGTTTGATTGATAATTGTTTTGCGAGATACACGTCGTGCCGTGAGTGAGTTGACAATCGGCATGTTAATTAAGCCACAATGGTGCCACATCACAAGTATGCTCTCACTTTCTCTCTCCTTAACCTTCAACCTTTTGTTCTTTTACTCTTCTGCAACAACACCATTATTAGGATTATTACCACTGCTCCTATGTATTGACTCATCCCTTCTGATATGTCACCTGCGTCGATCTTCTTCATCGTGACCTTTATTATTTATTGATTTATTTGTTTGTTTTACGGATTCGAGCCAAATCAGGAACGATAGAGATATTGGGGCGGGAATGATATAGGAAGGGAGAGGAGAGAAGAGACTGTCAAATCCAAATAGGGCGCCGATAGATAATTCGGCTCGCTCATGCATTCGGATGCTTTTAAATTATTATCTCAATATAGTGGGGCCCACAGTATAATTTATTATCTCTACTTGGAAAGGGCTATGCTAGGTATACGGTATGCAACAATAAAGGGTAAAATGAGTAAATGCAGCAATGATTTATGGGGAAAAAAAAGACAAGCTTAGTGTATCGCCCTCTCTTCATCATCTTAAGCTCATCTTGGGCGGCCATTGGCATGAATTATTTCTGGTTAAAACAAATAGAGGGGAAGAGGGATTGATTGTAATCGTAGCATCAACAAGTAATTGAGGGAATCAATAATCGATAATATTGACAGATTTGAAGTTTCTAATGATGTCTCATTGGAATTTTTCCCTAATTTTTTGTGATTAAGGACCTTCGAACGAAGCAAATACTTCATCGGGGACACGTTAAAGATGGACTGTATTCTCTTGCATCCACCATGCCCCCACCAGCTATTCATTCAGTTTCCTTCTCAAACAATTAATAAAATTCTATTGTCAAATAAGTTGTCTGCTTCTCCTAATAATATGAAATCTTTGTGTGAAGCATGTTGTGTTAGCAAATCACATAAATTACCATTTGTTGCTTCTTCTTTTGTTGCTAAACAACCATTAGAATTAATTTGTTCTGATTTATAGGGTGTCAACATCAATTTTGAGAATCAATTTTTGCATAAGGTTTAAATTAGGTTTATATTACTGTCAATGTTATATTAATGTAAGCCTTACGCTTATATTAAATTGTTTATATAATAAGTCTAATAGTATACATTTTGAGTAATTAAGTAAAAGGTTATATTACTGTTAATGAGACGCTTAACAGATGACAGAAAATCTTGATATCATGGAACATGTTAGCAGATAGGATGAATCATGTTAATTGGCAATTAAAATCCAAATTCTGTCAGTTAAAGCCAAAAAATGAAACCAAAAATTTTATAGTAACTAAACATGCAAGTTTTGAAATTACACTAAAACCTTAGTGATTTTTCAGAATCAATTTTCAGAATTAATTTTTGTGTAAGGTTTATATTAAGAAACAGAACCAGTAGACATTACAGGCTCACATTACTGTTAATGTGAGGTTTATATTAGTAACTAAACATGCAAAAAAGAAACCAAAATTTTTTAGTAACTAAACATGCAAGTATTCAAATTTTTTATTTTTTTAGTTTTGAAGGGGTGTTGGATTTTAAGCAATATGTTAACTTTCATTTCAAGACTAATATGCTTATATTAATTTTATTAAGTATCAATTTTACGACTAATAACAACATCCATATACTCTAGCCTCCTAGTTGGCATTTTAAGAAATCATTAAGTATAAATTTTATTAAGTGAGCATTTTTCAGTAAGAGTAGAAGGAGTTAATCTAATAAACTGCTTCATGGGTTGCAGAGCTACAAACCCTTTGGACCGGACAAAGGAAGATGAAAGCAATAGTAGTAATTGCATTGACATGCCAATTCAATATAATGTTGGAAGAAGGCATGAGTCACGAACATCCTTAAACTCGAAAGAGGTAAGAGTTAGATTCATAATATTATAGTTGGTCAATTCATTAGAGGCACTAAATGCTAATATTCGTAAATTTAATTGTATGATATAGAGTCCAAATGTGCGATGTCAGTCTTTAGCGTTTAGGGCATTAGTAAATGAAATGACTAATTGTTGACGCGTGTTTTTATGACCCCGCCTGATCCAATGATGATACGAGGATGTGGAATGAATGGGTTAATGCTATCTAGAAGTCTTTTAATCCAAGGATTTAAATTAAAAATGATGTTACGAGGATGTGGAATGAATGGGTTAATGTCTCTAGACAGTTCTTTTTAATCCAAGGGATTTAATTAAATGATGTTTGGCAAGTTTGCCGTCACGCAGCTATAGCTGCGTCACGTAGGCTATATTAGACTCCATGACGTTTTTGTATTAAACGACATGTAGTTTGGTACAACCAGTAAGCTGCGTCAGCAGCTATGCTCTTGTGAGCTTACTTCTATAAATAGATTCTTTTTCTCACGTTTGAGACAAGAGGGGAATGATTTGGAAAAACCCTAAAAACATATTGGGCGGCCACATTTTCCTGCAGAGGCTCTTTTGAGTTCGTTTGAAGGAAAATAGCCATTAGATATCAATTTTAGGTGAATTAAATCAAAAAAAAAAAGAGAGAAAAATTCAAAAGACAAAAGAAAACGAATTTGAATCGAATCCTTGGAAACAAAGCTTCTGAAGACCTTAACTATCACTTGTTAAGACATTCAATCCGTTTACAATCCTCAATCTGAGGATTAGGTAATCTCTTTACCATTCGTTGTATTTTTTTTTTTTTTACTTATTTTTGCGATTTTAGTAATTTAAGCTTCATTAAATTATATTATGTTCATATTTGGCCATTTTATGAGTTTTTGAATCATATTTAGATAAAAAAAATGATCTCAATAAATCGTTTGAAAACAAGCTTGGGCCAGAACAGCCGCATCACGCAACTGTTCATACAAGAACAGCTGTGTCACGCAACTGTTCATCCAAGAACAGTTCCGTCACGTAACTGTTAGTTGTGTGACGCAACTGTTTTAAGCTTCCAGAGATGATTTTCATTTTTCAACAGATCCATCACGAGGTATTGTGAACCCTCCCCCGAAGGCAAAATTATGCTAGAATGAGGTATGCTCACATGTGTGTTTTATGAAGTCGCCACCTAGTTTATTTTTATAAGGTTTTATAAGGGAAAACTAAGAAAGACCTAAAATGACTCCAATTTTAATTAACCAATGTCTAGATTAATTTACCCAAAGTTTTAAGGGCACAATCAGTACGAACCCGAGGTGGAATCCCGAGGACTATGTCCATCGTTGATTAACTAAATTAAGTGTAAAATGCCCTTGCAAGGTAAATTGATGAATTGGACGAGTAAAAGTGTTTTGGTGATTTCGACTTGCCGCCTAGAGTTGATCCCGAACGGCCTACGATACTCCTCGTTTGAATGAAGAAGATCAAAGCTGACTGTAGCTTCGATAAAGCCTATTCAACAGGCATTTTGAAGGGGTATGCTTCATGCATGAGTCGTGTGCATGCTTCGTGCATTTTTTTAGGCATTTTTGCGCAAAGATTGATTGATTTTTTGTTTTTAGGCCTTTGTTTGCCAAAAGGTGTTTGATTGGGAATTTATTGCAAAATTGATGTTTGGGCTACTTTTATCGCCAAAATGGTTGATTAAGGTTTTGTGGCAAAAGTTGATATTTTGATTAGGCAATTGTTGCCAAAGATTGGTTAGGCGATTTGTTCGCAGAGTGATTGATTAAGGGCTTTGTACCAAAGGGGTTTGTTGGCGATTTTTTGTCGCCAAAAAGTGGTTATTTTGATTATTTAGGCAATTTGTTGTCAAGCGATTGATTAACGGCGTAGGCAAATTTGTTGTCAAAACGTGATTGATTAAATGTAGGCAATTTTGTTGCCAAAAACGGTGATTGATCTATGGCTTTAGCCATAAGATTATTGATTAATTTGACTTTTACGCCGAATGTTCGAAATAAAGGCAATTACACCGTAGTTATTAATTAACTAAGTGTGCCCATCCCCAAAAATAGGCATATAAATGCATATGACTAAGGCGCGAAATGCACGTGATTGTATGAGTCGCCGCCTTGTTTAATTATTTTTAGAGTAAACTAGGAAAAACTCTAAAGTTGACTCCAATTTTAATTAACTAATTATAGATTATATCACAATGGTTTAAGGCACATACTTCGAACCGCAGGTGGATTTGAGCTATGTCATGCTGTGCACTAACAATGAATGAATGCCCTTTGCAAGGTAAAGGATGCAATTGGACCATGAAAACTGTTTAAGTGATTTCGACTTGCCGCTCTGGGTTAATCCCGAGACCGTGCTACGTACTTTCGTTTGAATGGAAGATAAAGTCAACGTAGTTTCGATAGGCCTTTTTTAAAGGGCTTTGATATGGGTATGCTTAATGCATGAGTGTGTGTAATGCTTTGTGCATTTTTGTTCTTAGGCATTTTGCAAGAATTGATTGATTCTGTTGTTTTAGGCATTTGTTTGCAAAAATGTGAATTAAGGCTTTATTAGCCAAGATTGATTTAGGCAATTTATTGCCAAAATTGATGTGATTTAGGCGATTGTCCGTCAAAAATTGATTATTTGAAGGCTTTTAGCCAATGAGTTAAATTTAGGCAATTTGTTTTGCAAAAGGTGTTTGATCTTGGGCGATGGTCCGCCAAATTGATTGATTTAAAGGCAATTTAATTTGCCAAAGTGATTATTTGAAGGCTTTTAGCCAAAAATTTCGATTTAAGCGTTTGTCGCTAAAAATGGTTATCTTACTTATAGGCAATTATGTTTGCCAAAGAGATCAATTGAATTGCAATGTGGCAATTTTATTGCCAAGAAACGTGTTTTAATACGGCTAATTTAACCAAATTAATTGATCTAATGTGAAACCGCTTCCCCAATATATAGGCATGTGATGCCATATGATGAATGAGAGAAATACACGTAAATGTGTGTGAGTCGCCACTTGTTTAATTATTTTAGGGTAACTAGGAAAAACCCTGTGATCCAATTTTATTAACCTAGTTACAGATTAATTATCCCAATGTTTTAAGGCACAATCTACGAACCCGAGATGGATCCGAGACTTATGTCTGCTGATGAACTAACCGATGATGAATGCTTTGCAAGGTGAATGATGGATTAATGCAATGTTTTGAGTGATTTTCGACTTGCCACACCGGGGTAAATCCCGAACGTGCCTACGTACTTCGTTTGATGCAAGATCAAAGTCAACGTAGTTGATAGGCTTCTTTGAAGGGTTTTTGATGGTATGCTTATTGCATGAGTGTGTGTATGCTTAGTCATTTTTGTTTAGGCATTTTGCCAAACCAGGTTTGATTTTTAGGCATTTGATTGCAAAAAGTGTTGATTTTTAATGACTTT